TCTCTCTGTGTGTGTGTGTGTGTGTGCGTGTGCGTGTGTGTGTGTGTGTGTGTGTGTGTGTGTGTGTGTTGTTAAAGTACCCCAAATTCTCTCTSTCATTTCCTCCACAAATCAGACAAAACATCCATCCATAACAAAAAGGTATAGATAGCTAACATAATAGAAAATGCAAGGTTGGCCACGTTTGTGTGGTTCAGCGCCAAGTGCCCACACCCCTGTCTGCCGCTGAAGCGGCACACTTGCACATATACATACATGCATATATTTATTTACTATTTAGTCCATAAAAGGGTGGAGGGCAAGAAGCAACTTACCTAAAACCGAGGACTTCACCAGCAAGAAAGCTCCGACCCCATTCTCCAAAGATCCGAAAGTGTGTGTGTGTTCAAAAAACATGGCACGGCCTCCACCCCCCGAAAGCTCTTGTCGTACATCTCAGATCCTCGCTCAAATGGGCCCTGAAGCCTCTTTTCTGTGCTTGGGCGCAGACGACTGTGTTCTTCCTTCACCTCCTCAGTGTCCTCCATGGTCTCGTTTGTCAACGGACTCTCCTGTTTCCACACACTCCTGTTCCCAGCGTTCCACCTCCACCGCTGCAGTCATGCTTATCTCAAGTTTGTCATGCGAGTCAAAGCACTACTCTTATTATGTACCACTGAGTCACTGACAGCATGCACCGTATCATCACTCATCGGGCCAGGGAGCACCAGTTTGTTTTCTTTATCTGCCTCCTCGGGGCTCTCTGTGCCTGGCACTGCCCTCTGCACACATGTTGCCATTCCCGGCGTATCGTTTCCATGCTCTATCTGAAGATTCACTCTCGTTTTCCTCGCGGTGTATCTTTCCATCTTCTCCACATGACAGGCCCACGTGGTTGCTGTTCCCGTGCTCTTCACATGATAATGTCTACTCCAGTGTCCTTGGCAGTCAGTCCAACCGCTGGCGCTGGTGGGAAGTCGTGAAACCTTGATTCATTCTCGGCAGGGTTTGAGGTTCATGGCTACATATACTGTTTACGCTCAGCTGAAGGCATCATTGCCTCTGCCAGAGTGACTACTGTGCCATGGTTTTTGCAACCATGTGTGCAGAGGGCTGCCCCTCCTTTCCTGACTGTGTGTGTATTCCCTCTGCACTCGCACACCACATGCCCATTTTGCACCCATGGCATGGACGTTATTATGAATGCATGCTCGTCTGCGATGCCTGTTCTTCTTTCATCCTTGCCTGCAGCTAACATGCTGGCATTTGTCAGGAATCGTTCGTGGGCATGGTTGGTGCCAACCATTGTGGCCACAATGTGGTGAGTGTTGTGCTGATAATTCTTAGCTGGGTCTTCCATGTCATCACCCATGCTTGCCCCTTCTGTCGTTGAGAGACAGACTGACTCCTGCATCTTCATTTATCCTCCCCTACCCTGCCATTCCCTGTGCCGTCAACTCGATTCAACACGCCTTACTTTCCGTTTGCCTTCCTTTGCTCTCTCTGTCTCCTTTTACTCTGTCTCCCTATACTCTCTTTCAGAGCTTGCGCGTGTGCTGTTATGGAAAAGACGGGGGTGTCGACAGACTCGACACTTTGTGCGTGACTACACCAACGCAGCGAGCCTCTGCACCTGAGAGGCACCGTAACGGGAGAGCTGAACGAAGAAATACAAGACCAACAGTCAAAACATCCAGAAGAAGGAAAGACAAGAAAGAACTAACAGTTACTACAGAACAAGGCAACAAGAAAGGTTGCAGTACACCTCATGCTCTCCAGTGTCGACTCTTTTCTTCGTTTGTTTCACAAAGTGTGCTCTTTTAGTTGATAGATATCTGACCGTATGCATGAAACGCTCTTTAAGAGAAGGTCGATGATTGGTGGTTGAATTGTAGCCAGCCAGCCACTATTTCGATTTCATGCAGGGATTGCAGCAGCTGTGTTGCATATGCTACTATAATTTATTAATTTTCCTTTCTTGCGGTTTCGTTGTGACCTTTGTTTTCCTTCTCTTAAGCCACCAGTACCTTTGCCAGCTATCAGGCGCGGGGCCTGCACGCCGAGTTTTGGCGGCGTGCCTGGCCGTCGACGGAGGCTGAGTGCGGCCTCCGTGTTCACCGGCGCGAAACGGCAAAATGGCTGGGAAAGGTACTGGTGGTTTAAGCCACCAGTCTGAGCCTCTTTTTCCTGATGTGCTGTGCTGACTGGCCCAGAAAAAGCCCAAACCACCAGTGCGCGATCTTGCAGATTCCCGCCAGCCTTTTCCCTCCAGCGGGTGCAAGCTGCGATTTTGCTGCGCATTGACTGACGTGGGTGTCTGAACAAGGTAGTAGGGGAACAAAATGATGGCTTAAGTGATTTTCACATTTAGTTCTGTTTTCAAGTGTTTTCACTGTTTTGATAATTTAAGTTATTTAACCCATTTTTTCTGTTTTCCAAGTTTTCCTGGTATTGTTCTGTCAGTCTTCTCTCTCCATTTACGATGCCAATCCCGGTGTTTTTTTTTTTTTTTTTTTTTTCCCTTCCCCCTGAGGGGCCCCTCCCTTTTTTTTTTTCGTTTTCTTTTACCATTTCTCAATTTATGCTTGTCATCCTTGCACAGGGGCCATGCTAGTCTTCTTTCTCTTTATCGTTCCAATTTTGATTCTATTGTTCTGAAAGAATCTGAATGTGTTATTCTTTGCCAGCTGCAAGATGCAGGACGTCGGGTGGCGTCATCTGCTGGGAGCCTAAGTACAGCTGGAGAAATGGGCCGCCACAGCCAGCAGGAAAATGGAAAAGCTCATGATGCTCGGGACAAGAAGCTTTATCAGCACGATGACCTCCAGGCAAAAAATGCCGAGTCTCAAATTCCAGGTGGCAGCCAGATGGCGAAATCTTGTCCATCCATGGATAGCGGTTGCTGCGCTGATGCCGATGCCAGTGCTGATGCCGAAGCTGATGTGAATATTGCTGCCACTGCTGATGCTGACAAGGGGGGTAAACCAAATCCTTCTGTGAATGGACTGTGCCAGATTCCGTCGGAAGCATACAGACTCTCTTCAGAAGATATGGCTGGACAGACTCTGCCTGACAGAGTGTCATTTTCTTCTCCTGTAATCCCAAAAAAAGACCCTTGTGATCCGCAGAAAAGAACAGGGTATCTTACATGGGATGACTATTTTATGTCAATTGCGTTCTTGAGTGCTCAGCGATCCAAAGATCCGCATCGACAGGTGAGCATCCAAAGCTCCGTAGAATGGAAGCAAAAAAAAACCTGTAATCTTTGCCAACTAGCATGAACACTGCGAAATATTGACCAGGTGCATACCATGTGTTCTATTCAGATTGTATGGCACAATCTGTTGTTTCGTGGCCATCATCATGTTTCATGATCCAATGCTTCCTTGGATGAAATTTTGTGTGATATAACTGTAACTAATTTATTATTATTATTATTATTATTATTATTATTTTTTAATTAATTTAATTTAGGAAATTTCAAATTTCAAATTTGAGTATTCTGGGGGCTGTCAGTCCGGTTGCTTATCACCGGAAAACATGTTTTGCATAAAGGCACTGGGGAGAAAAGATAAGAAAAGAGGGTGAGCCAAACCCTTGTGGCACTAGACACCTAAACAAGGGGGCACTGCTACGGAGCGCCCAACCCCCAACCTTGATCCCTGTTGGGGGCCTGTTCTACTCGTCGGGAGGCTTACTAGCAGCACCCAGGCACGTATGCAGTAGGGCAGCCCCCAGGGGCGCATGGCGCCGGAGGTGGGGCGTTCCCAGTGGCCCTTCAGGCCGCATGCCAAGTCCTTCATTGTTTCTTTACATGCTAAGTTGTCTCCATCTCGTATCTACTTCCACGTCCTATCTTTCCAAGCTCCTTTCCCACTCTCGGCACCTCCCGGTCCCAACGGCCTTCGGTTCTGAAATTTCCTTTGCCTCCATCACGCCCAGAGTAATATTCCATCTCCCACTGTATATACAGTATTATACACCCATACCAACTGTCGCCGCTGTTTTGAGTTCATTTAACAGCTTTGACTTTTTTTTTTGTTTAATCTTTTAAGTTTTAACTACCCTATATTGTTCTCTGCAGTCCAGGTCCTTTCCACCGGCAAGTCGAAGAAAATAAATTGGGGAGTTTCTAGACTGAAAGTTGGCCCAAATACAGCTATTTCATGGGTCCTGGGGACCATCTCACGCAAGTGTGTACATGCCATGCATCGTACTCCCACACACAATGAACAGTAGTCTCACAATAGACAAAGATAGAGAAGATGAGGACCGAGTTTCACAGCTTATATTATCAGAAATATGAATACAAAGTGTTTCAAAGTTCCCCTGAGTCCAGCGCTCATCAGCGCAACACCAATATCTTGCCAACTCATCAATGTGACTTCCAGTGAATCAGTGCTACCCCTGCAGATAGTCTCCAAGTCATCAATGTGGTCACTACTCATCAGCGCCACCTCTGCAGGTCACATCCAACTCAGGTAAGTATCTTCCATAGCCAAACCTTGAATGAACACTCTCAGCCTCAATCCCTTCCTCCTATGATGCATACACACTCTTNNNCTCTCTCTCTCTCTCTCTCTCTCTCTCTCTCTCTCTCTCTCTCTCTCTCTCTCTCTCTCTCTCTCTCTCTCTCTCTCTCTCTCTCTCTCAGTGTGAGTGCAAAGCAAGATAGTAAAGGACATGGCCGGAAGGAAAGGACATGTTAAGATAATGTAGCAAGTATAGAAGTTTGTTAAGGATCTTTGAACTGCAGTTGGTGCGAGCTACCGTCTTCACCCGAATAGAACGCCCGGTCATTATAGCTGTATTTGGCACAACTTTCGGTCCAGATGCAGCGATAATGACGGGGCGTTCTATTCGGGTGAAGACGGTAGGGCCTTGATTGTTGATGCCTCTGTTCTCGGAGCAAACTTGATTGTTTGTTTGTTTGTTTCTTGCTCAGCACGGGTTCGTTTTTAATTCCCGGTTTTACATGAGGACCTCCTTGGTTGTTTCTACCTTCCGATGCTCCCATGTCCTGCGCACCCGGTGGTTGTTCCTTGATTGCCCTGAAACCGTGTTCCTAAGCTCAGCAGAGGGATCCATTTGTTTTTCACAATGCCTTGGTGCTCATTCCTTGATTGCCCTGAAACTGCATTCCCAGGGGGAGGGTGGAGATATGTTTGCTTTTGAAAGTGTCTTGGTGCTCTCATTCCTTGATTGCGCTGACTTCATGTTTGTGCGCAACAAGGATCTATTTGCTTTTGATGATATGCCTCGATGCTCGTTCCTGACACCGTGTTCCTGCATGTGATGTGTGGAGCTATTTGCTTTTGATGATGCCCCAGTGCCCATTCTTTGATTGCACATCATGTTCTCACGCGTGGTGACGGGTTCTGTTTGCTTCTGATGATGCTCCGGTGCTTGTTCCTTGATCTCCTTGACATTACCTTGTACGATGATGGGATCTGTTAAATTTTGATGATGCCTCTGTGCTTGTTCCCTGATTTCCCTGAGATCATATTCTCGCATGCAGCATGGAGATTTATTTGCTCTTGTTGAGACATTGGTGCCCTGTCATCATGTTCCCGTGCATGGCGCGGGGTTATATCCACTCTTGTTGATATTCGTACATGAACCTGTTTCCTTGATTGTTCCCATTTGCGGAGTGAAGATTGTTTCACTCCTGTTGCTCTGTCATCTCTTTGCTTATTTTTTTATTTCCCTGCGGCCAGAGTCCTTCGGGACATCCGTTAAAATTGGAACGATACAGAGAACATTACCATGGCCCTTGTGCAAGGATGACACACATAAATCGAGAAATGGCTAGGCTTCATTTCCGTGCGCACGGGCCCCACGGCACGCAACGAATGCCCACATGGGTGCACGGCCGTGCGGGTCCCCTGGTCAGGCCCCGTGCGGGCTCAGCATGCAGGCCTTGGGGGGGGTAATTTCAGGGGCGCCGGAGCAACCTCCCTCCCGCCACTCCCCACCTCCTTTCCGCCCTCTGCAACCTCCCTTCCGCCATTTCCCACCTCCCTTCCGCCATCTCCCATTCCACTTCCGCCATCTCCAACCTCCCTCGCGCCATCTCCAACCTCACTCCCGCCACCTCCCACCTCCCTTTCACCATCTCCAACCTCGCTCACGCCACCTCCCACCTCCAACCTCACTTCCGCCATCTTTTACCTCCCTCCTGCCATCTTTAACCTCCTTCCCACCACCTCCCACCTACCTTCTGCCATCTCCAACCTCACTCCCGCCATCTTTAACGTCCCTCCCGCCACCTCCCACCTCTCTTCCGACCACCTCCCACCTCCCTTCCACCATCTCCCACCTTACTCTCGCCACCTCCTACCTCCCTTCTGTCATCTCCAACCCTCTTCCACCATCTCGGACGTCACTCCCACCACCTCCCACTCCTGCCACCTCCCACCTCTGAACAGTAGGAGTCACTGAGACCCCACCCAACCCTACCCCCCCCCCCTTGCCACATGTGAAATACTGGTGTGACAAACGAGTGCAAACAGGGCAGATTTGGGCAGATCTCTGCAGGCGCAGCAGAGGCCCATCACCACAAAAAAAGAAAAAAAGAAAAAAAAAAACGTACAAAAAAGCTTGCACGGGTGACCCGTGCAGCCGCCAGGCCGTGCAGGCTGCACGGGTGCACAGCCGTGCCGGCCCGGCCGGGCGGCGTAGGAAGCATGGAGAAATGGTCCAATTTTTTGAAAAAAACGCAAAAAGGGCAAGCAAGACATGTGCTTCGCTTCTTACTTCTGATTATCACTGGGGGTGCTCTTTTTCCTTGGCGGTAGCGAACTTGAGTTTCATATAGTCACACAGTGACACACACCCTTTTACTGCTGTGACACCAGCACATGAGCTCTCCTTGGAACTAGTGGGGCTCAGTCTAACTCAAGCCTGCATGATGGACACATAGGTGGCATGATCAAACATGTGCCTCTAGAGTGGTCCTTTATTCTTGGAGTTGGCGTACATCCTGTCATTCAGGGCATGCGTTGAAATTGGAGCAATACCAGGGCTGGTCCCCGGTTGGACCGGGGGCCCCTCCTCCGTCCGGGAGCCTGGAGGTCGGACCGGCCGGGCAGACCCCCGGTCGAGTCCAGCGCATTAGGCTGGACGGGGGGTACCGGGCAGTGACAGGCATCCCCACGACCGCCCAGCCCCCATAAGGCCGCGACCTCCTATAATAAAAAAAAAACTGGGTTTTTTTGGAACCCACATCTGGAAAACAACGAGCGGAGGATCTTCACCACTTATCTTTGCAGATCAGCGGGGGAAAACCGTCGCGCGCATTTTCTCAAAAATTGGGGGTCCACCAGGCCCCATGTTGGCATAGTGTGGTCCAACAGACCACGGACCAGAAGCCACTGGCAGAACATACTCATCCATTCGCAGCCACAAGGGAATTTCTATGCAAGAACAGGGGCTCTCCTGAGCCTATATGCTTCTGCAACATCACTAAGCTCTGGGGAAAGAGTTATGGGTTTGGGTTTCGGCTGTGTCTAAGGTGCAAGCCCAAGAATGGACTTAAACTATATTTTTCTCTCAATCTATCTAGAATGGACCTGGCTCCACTACATGCATCTGGACAGACTGTCCGGCGAGATACTTTCGGACTGAGGACATTGATGACCCAGCGTATGTAAACAAAAAAAACAGAAAACGCTCTGCCTGCACGGGCTGAGACCTGCACCCATAACTTTTCTGCTGTCGAGCTATATTCTGGAAAAGCTATAAGTTTTGGCAAGGATCCACTCATATCATGTCTCGTTTAGCTGCAGGATTTTAATGGCTGTTGGCATAATCCAGAATGCTCTCTGCTGCTGAATTGAAGTTCTTGGGCCATGGGGGGGTGGATAAGTAACCTTGGTTACTCAACCCCTCCCCCTGAAAGCGACAGCTCCATGAATATCCCAATTATATCCCCCCCTACCCCTGGGGCACCCCCGGGAAAAATTGGACCTTCAGAATTTTATTACAGATTTCGACAGCTCTTGAAGAGCGCAGTCAGAATCTGCCAAAAATGAAAAAGAAAAAAAAGAATTGGGCTTTATTTCTAGGAAGATTTTCATGACTGGCCAGTCACCCGGGCATGACGCCCGGGTGACCCGGTCATGGCAAAAAAATTTTTTTTTTTTAAATTAAATGGCGGTGGCCCGGTAGGGTTTTTCCGCGCTCTCCTAGAGGAGCCCAAATCCGGGCTCTTTTC